CTGACGTCCCTCGTCCCGGCGGCACCCGCTGGGCTGCAGGCAGGGAGAGGGGTCGCTGCCTGGATCCACACCAGGCTCGCTCCACACTTGCATTTCCTTCTCCCCTTCCTCCAGGGTCAGAGCTCCAGCTCCGGCGGAACACGGAGCCATTTCCAGCTGTGTCAGGGAGCTCCCGGCCCTCCTCCCACTCCCACAGAAATCGTGCACAGCCCCATGTCCCTCCTTGCTACCCTCGGGTGCCCAAGGGCTCTGCTCTGGGTGCTGTGGATAGGAAGCGGGGTGTGTGTGTGAGAGAGATTTCCAAACTGTTTCCCACCAGCTGAATGGGATTAACACAAGAATGCCTGTTGCTGCCTATGGGCCATTGTCACCACTGGGTCCCCGGCAGACTGCTGTCAACCGCCCACCCACCCGTGTATGCCAACGCTCCCGGGACCTGCTCGATCCCGGGGGGAAACGTCAGGCATGGGCTATAATCAAGCAGAATGGGGACAAGGCTGGCCTCTGACCTGCCCCAGCCCTGTCTGAGGACAAGGATGACAGAGGAGCCCTCCCTGCTCCTGTGCCAGTCCGTGGGAGGACCCAGGAAGGACTCACTGTCCTGTGCTTGCACTGTGACACCTCCGACAGGTTAATGACAACGCGGGGCTGAGCATGGTTCTGCTCCCTCTCCAAGGGGTTGCTGAGTGCTGTGAATCCAAACTGGATCTGAACTCCAACCCTTGAGGCAGGGAACCAGGTGGTGTCTGCAGCAACTGCATGGCAGCTAAACAGATGAGTGAGCTGGGAGAGACATCCTCCCTTTTGTGTTCATTATCTCCCAAGGCCATCGTGTTTTTCTCTGCTGTAACCGCCTTGTCCCATCCATCACCTACACCCGCCCCTCAGCTGCAGCATCCTCAGTGCAGGGCGACCCTGGGCTTCCTGGGGTCACAGCCCCACTGTGCCAGAGGGCTGTCCTCTCCCCTTCCCCCAGACGGAGCAGAGCGTGGAGGAGAGCCCTGAAACCCCAGGGAAGCTTAGTGTTAAATCAGGCTCCAGCCCAGCCCCTCACTGCCCTTGACTGATAAGAGACGTGCCAGAGTGGCTTTCTGTGCCGATAACCAAAGACCCACCAGCCTCCCATGCTCCTGAACACTTGTTGCGTGGTGCTGGCTCCTGGGTCCGGCCCGGCTGGGCTGGCCACACATCAAAGGTTGGCAGAAGACCCATTTGCCAACTCCTGGCTCTGCCTGCCCTGGGTTATTACAGTTAGAGGAGCAGGGAGGTTTACTGTGGTTTCACAGCACAGCCGTGTGTCCTCAGCTCCGGGCAGCACCAGGGCTGACCCAGCCTGACCCAGCTTACCCCGGGGCTGCCTCTCACACAGCCGTGATCGCCTCTGTGCTATTATAAACCTCCTCCTCGGCAGGGTGGGAGCTGCTGCTGTTGTTCCTGGCCCCGTGCCCCGTGCCCCATCCTTCCTTTGCTCTCCCAGCCTTCGGTGCTGTCATTTCCTTCTCACAAGCCTGCTTGCATCTTCTCCCCCTGCCTCACCAAGGGCTCTGCCTGCCTCCCCCATGCTGGGATCTGAGGGCAAGGCCGATCCTGTAGATGAGCTCTCAAAGGCCTCCTTTTATTATTTTTTTTTCCTAGGGGTTTTTAAACCTAAACTTCTCAAGGCATTGTGTCCTTGGACCTGCCCCGTGCTGTCCATGAGTCACATCCCCTGCCATTGTTCACCTCGTCCTTGAGCCCTCCTGATGCTGGGAGCTTCCTCTTCTGCCTCTGCCCAAGACTTGGGGGCTTTCGGCATGTCTGACCCCAGCGCACCGCAGGGCTTTGAAGTAAGCAGTCCCTCTGCGCTCCTGCCACCCCAGCAGCCCTGCTCTGCCCCCTGCGGCTCCAAGGAAAGGCAGATCTCGCACTGGGTTGCTGAGCTCGTCTGTCAGTGGAGCCATCCCTCCGCAGGGATATCCAACATCCCTGGGTTGTTCAGCCTTCTCCAGCCACAAGCTGTGGGCATCTTCCACCGTGCTGGCTGTCCCTGCCTGCAGAGCGGTGTCCCAGGGCGATGGAGCAGGCCAAGAGGTTGGTCCCAGAGCTTTGTGTGGGATGCTCGTGGGAGAGCTGTACTGCTGCCTCCCTGGTGTGAAGGGCTGGTTGAGCCCTGCCCACTGCCACCAGGGCAGCACCAGGGATGTGCTGACCCACCTGTCCTTCACTGCAGCTCACTCCTTTTCACATAGGGGAAGCTGAAAACAAGTAAATCGGCCAAATCCATGCTGCAGGTTCATGGCAGGGTGACCAGCTGCCAGGCTAGCAGGGCTCTGCTCTAACCACTCCAGTCATTCCCCTTTCCCTAGAGACTCCCTTTTTGCACTTCTCTGCTGAGCTGTGTGCTGTACTACCTGTCAGTCTGCTCTTGTTGCATCTTCAGATCTCCAAAACCAGGTCCCGCTTTGCATCAGGCACAAACAGAATCACAGAATCACAGAATTATTGAGGCTGGAAAAGACCTCTGAGATCATCAAGTCCAGCCTATGACCCAACACCACCACATCAGCTAGACCATGGCACTAAGTGTCACATCCAGCCTTTCCTTAAACACCTCCGGGGACAGTGACTCCACCACTGCCCTGGGCAGTGCATCCCAATGCCTGATCGCCCTCTCCATGAGGAAGTGCTTCCTGAGATCCAACCTAAACCTCCCCTGACACAGTTTCAGGCCAAACTGTGCCTCTCCTGAAGAGATTATGATCTAAACAGACAAGATAGATGCCAAGGGGAAGGGAAATGATTGACACAGTGGATCAGGCTCTCC